TAAAGGGCTCTAAAACAATTCATATATAAATATTTAGCATATTTAATGCAAAATCAAATTTTTATGCTTTAGTGCTGCAACAAGGTTTTATTAATAATAAATTATTATACCTTTTGTTTTACTACAGCATCGGTAAGCTTCCTGTGCACAGATTATTAAGGATGCTTGTTTCAGCTGTGAGATTAGACGATAGGATCAATGAAAAAATAAGTTGTCACACACTCCATGGAAACTTTCAGAGAATCCACAAATAGTGGCTTTCAAATGGTTTTGTTACTTTTAGCAAGTTTAGAAAAGCAGCTGATGAGACAGCATGTCTGATAATTTAGTTTTTCATCTGATAATATTAGAACATGTCAGTAATGTCTGAGGGGCTTTTATAAACACCGTATAACTAACACTACTGGAGAGGGCATGAATTACACAGAGGCTTCTGGGGAGCCCAGTTATTGGGGGGGGGGGGGGGGTCATTTTGCCTTGGCCCCCAAAATGTCTTGAAACGGCCCTGGGTGTGTGACTGAGTTTTGAAGGTGATCTGAATTGTATCAGATGTATAAATATGACATGTGTATAACTTATTGTTTTTTACTGGTAAAAACGTGTAGTGGTGATAAATCTACCTACATTTTACTTTTCAACACTTTGTTTTCAGCGCTTTGTTTCACTTTCAGCGCTTTGGGCTTCCTGACAGGGTTGCGGAAGGCGCTTTATAAATAAAGCTTTGATTGATTGATTGATTGATTGATTTTTTGTTTTTATTGAACTATTTTCCTGTCCTGTCTGTCTCTCATCTTCCTGCATCTCCTCTTAATTCTCCAGAAAATCTGTTGCCTGGATTCTTACCTTTTCACCTCATCAGTTACTTTTGAGCAGATCAAAGGGATCTCCTGACCGAAAAGCGCAGAGCGCGTTTTCGATGCTGTGTGAGGTGACATCACCACAGCACAGGTGATGAGCTCCGCAGTAGCGAGCTTCAGGCACAAATAAGACAGAAAATAGAGAACATGTGCAGACAAGAACGATCGTGTGCTAATTATAGTTTTTTGGTTGCGCCACTTTGAGAATGGACCGTGCGCTGGAAGCAGCTGCCTGGATCGCTGTGCAACAATGCGGAACCGGTTCGCAGCAGCGCAAGTCTGCCGGCTCTCCCTCGCGCTGATCTGCCGCTACCGGCTCTCCCTCACGCTGATCTGCGGCTCTCCCTTGCGCTGATCTGCGGCTCTCCCTCGCGCTGATATGCCGGCTCTCCCTCGCGCTGATTTGCGGCTCTCCCTCGCGCTGATCTGCGGCTCTCCCTCGCGCTGATCTGCGGCTCTCCCTCGCGCTGATCTGCGGCTCTCACTCGCGCTGATCTGCGGCTCTCCCTCGCGCTGATCTGCGGCTCTCCCTCGCGCTGATCTGACTTGCTCTGGTGTGCGCGCAACGGCGGGCGGGATTCGGGAAGGGGGGGGGGCGCTTTTGGAAGAGTTGTGCGACACAACGAATCGATGACGCAATTCGTTGCCAACGCTTTTAGTAATCGATTTTCATCGAATATATCGATTCGTTGTTGCAGCCCTAATTTTAATACACAAAAACATCAATTTCACAGTATTGGACACAGTCTCTGACCCAGAGGGTAGATTTATAATGTTAAAAATATCTGTACAGAATCAAAGCTTATGTATCGTCAGCATATACTGTCCAAATATTGATGACCCTCCATTCTTTCATAATTTTTTCTCTGTACTCTCCGAACACTTGGACTGTCCACTTATACTTGGAGGCAATTTTAATTTTTGGACGCACTCTTTAACAGACTGGCTCAGTACAGCTGGGACTCAGCGCAATTGGCAATCCACTAATATAGTTAAACAGTACATGAGTGATTATGGGCTTTGTGATGCATGGCGATCTCTTCATCCTAACCATATAGAGTATACTTTTTTCTCACACGTCCATCACTCTCACTCACATTTGGATTATTTTCTAGTCAGCAGCTCATTGTTGGCTGACATTTCAGACACTGAGATACACCCCATAGTTGTCAGCGACCATGCTCCGGTTTCTTTAACTCTGGTAAATAAAAAGACAATCCCACCAGGCAAAAACTGGAGGTTTAATACATCACTGCTCAAAGATGAAGGTTTTATCGAATTTTTTAAAAAGGAGTGGGCTTTATATTTAGAACGTAATGACCTGCCTGGAACAGAGTTAATGAGCAAATTACGTAAAGCTAAATTAGAACTTCATGGAATTATTGACAAAAAGACACAATTTTAACACAAAGACTATGAATAGAAAACTTTGAACATAGTAATAAATCAGGTAAATTTTTAGCTGGCCAGTTAAAAATAAATAAAGAGAAATCTACTTTAACTGCTGTTAAAGACTCAACCGGGAATATTGTTTATGACCCTGAAAGCATCAACAACACTTTCAGAGACTTTTACCAAACTTTGTACGCACCACAGATAAACCCATCAGATAACGAGATCGATGGGTTCCTTGACAGGATAACACTTCCTAAATTATCAGACAGCCAAGTTACAGTCCTGGACTCGCCACTAACATCAGCGGAGCTCCAGGAAGCCCTTAAATCCATGACGAATAGGAAAGCTCCAGGTCCAGACGGGTTCCCAGTAGAGTTCTACAAAGAATTCTGGATCATTCTGGCTCCAACATTTTATAGAACGGTGAGGGAAATCGAAGAGAGCGGCAGATTACAGCCAAACATGAACTCAGCCAATATTAGTCTCTTGTTAAAACCAGGCAAAGACCCTGCATTTCCTACCAGCTATCGCGCAATTTCCCTTATTAATGTTGATCTCAAAATAATTTGTAAAGCCCTGGCAAAAAGATTAGAGAAGGTAACCCCCTTCATAATACACCCTGACCAAACTGGTTTCATTAAGGGTAGACAATCATCCACAAACTCACGTAGATTACTTAATTTGATAGATTTATTTTACAGTAGAAACATAGAAACTAGCATATTATCTCTAGATGCAGAAAAGGCTTTTGATAGAGTTAACTGGAAGTTCTTATTTGTAACTTTACATAAATTTGGTTTTGGGAACTTCTTCATAAACTGGCTACAAACATTATACAGTTCGCCAACTGCACATGTCAGGACAAACGACCAAATATCAGCTAGCTTCTGTCTTCAGAGGGGGACCAGGCAGGGATGCCCACTCTCCCCCACACTGTTTGCTATCTTTATTGAACCACTAGCGGCAGCAATTAGGCAAACAACAGGTATTAAAGGGATAAAGTGTAAGAAAATAGAACATAAGATCAGTCTTTATGCAGATGATGTTTTACTCTTTCTCCGGAATTCTTAATCCTCTCTCTCCCATTCAATAGGATGACTTTCATACCAGCTTGGCTGAAAGCGGTGTCTTCTGTCTCCTATTAATGTCATTGGAAATGTCCTCAAATGATGCTGAGTAGGTGGGTCATCCTTGCACTTGCTGATATCTGAAAGAAAATAAATGTTAGCATGAGGATAAAAGTCATAATTAGTTAATTCAGAGTCTTATTTTCTCTATTTATTAAATATAAACAACAGAAATTTTGGTCCAGAGTCAGCATGCCTCAAATGCATTTTACACACAATATGAGCTGCAATCACAGAGGGGTTTGTTCAACACCCACAAACCTGATGGTAGTGTACACGGTGCACATGACAGAAGATGTCCCTCTTTTTGCTCCTCACTCTCTCCCTCACAGCCTACATCTTCCTCCTCACTCTCAAGGTGGACAGCCTCTGACCTCTCTGGTTCCTCTCCAACCATCTCCTCCATCTCTTTCATCCTGCTTCTCAGCTCCCTCGTGACTTTCATCCTCTCTCTGTCTACGCTGTTCTTTATTAACAGCAGTTAAAAAAAGGACAAAATGTCCATTTTTCTTTTCATGGCCGCTGATGCTTCCAGTCAGTGCTGCGAGAAAGTCGTAGATGAATACTGTGATCCAATCTCAACGTGTCTAAGGCTTAAACTGCAGCAACTTCATTTTTATTTTACAGTTAATGTTACAAAGGAAAAACAAATCAGTATTAACTGTGGATAGACTCAGTTAGGAACATAAAAGTAAATGACAGAAACGCGCGACTATGATCAAAACATTGATGTCAGGAAAATAAACTGTATTGCTTACCTTCGTCTCTTAGTGTCTTTTCCGTTAGTCGTGCTCAAGAATTTCTTTGGGTCCCATTTAAAACATTTTTAATCTTTTATTCAAAAATCCACCGGGTAAACAGTTCTGTCCACAGAGTGTGCTGCGCTCTAAAGGCTCCGTGTGAAACGCTGCAGCGCATTAGTTCCCGTCTCCGAGGCAGCGCGGGGAAAAAAAAAAATCCAATCTCTTCAGCACAGGGGCCATAACAGGGGCCAGGGCCGGTTCTACAGGAGCCCAGGGCCGGTTCTATAGGGGCCCAGGCCCCTGTGGGCCCCTGTTTAAAACAGCCAATGTTCTGGATGAATGGCAAGAACAATGGATAAGGGATGTGAAAGGAAGAATTTATACAAATTAAAGGGAAAAGTTGGAAGAATGGAAGTAATTCAAATGAGTAACAGAAATGAAGTAGTAATAACAAGGATGAGAATGGGACATACAGCTTAGAACAGTACGCTTTTTATTCTTGGACGGCATAATGCCGGTATGTGTGACTGTGGACTTGATAGGGAAACAGTAGAACATGTATCATGTACTTGTAGAAAATATGTGGGGAATAGGAAAATGTTAGTTGAAAAATTAAAAGTTAAAGGGTATAAGAAATATAATTTGAATATTCTGTTAAATGGGGGAGTAGTGGTGTATAAGTTAGTCATAGACTTTTTAAGGGACAGTGGAATACTTGATAGAATTTAGTTTTTTTTTGTTTTTTTTTTAGTAGGATACTCCCCACTTCAACTCACACCCCCATTCAGTAGGTGGCGGAAATGCACCTGAAAGTTGGTTGCCACACGCCAACTAAACAATAGAAAAAGAAGAAGAAGAACTGCCTTAGAGGCTCTCAGGTGACGCGAGGACTCAGGAGAAGTTTACAAGGAAGAAGAACATGTTGGAAGTCATCTATCAATCCCCCACTTCAGCCTCCCTGTTTGGCCTGGTTGTTGCTCTGCTGGTCCTCCACCTTCTTTTCTCCAGCTTCAGCTCCCATGGAGAACCTCCAGGACCCAGAGGCCTTCCTCTGATCGGTAATCTGTTTCAGGTGGATCTGAAGAGACTTGACCAGAGTCTGTTTAATGTGAGTGATTTTCAGTTTGTCATAATTAAAATTGATCAGCCAATTAAAGACAGACTGTTTTAGTGAAGTCCCACTTTTTTCTTCTTTGTGGTTTTTAGCTGTCTAAGAAATATGGACCAGTTTTCCAGGTGAACTTTGGACCACAGAAGGTGGTGGTTCTGGCTGGCTACAGGACAGTCAAACACGCTATGGTCAACCACGCTGAGGAATTTGGAAACAGAGACATCACACCAATTTTTCGTGATTGGACACATGGACATGGTAAGAAAATAATGCTGAGCCAGCAAAATTTGTGGTTCTCTGTTTAAAAACATTTTAACTTGTTCTGTTCCCAGGTATTATTTTCTCTAATGGAGATTCGTGGAGAGAGATGAGGCGTTTTGCTTTGACAACACTGAAGGACTTGGGAATGGGCAGGACGATGAGTCAAGAGATAATCCTACAGGAATGTCGCTACCTGATTAAAGAACTTGAACAGTTTGGAGATAAATCTTTTGAATTGGTGCAAGTCACCATCAAAATTCAATTAATGGATTTCCTCTATTTAAAAAACCAAGAGGTTGGTAATGACTTTGTTCTGAATATTGTTGCAGATAAAGCTTTCACAGATGACCTGGCCATCACTTGTGCCGTTTCAAATGTTATATCAACTCTAATGTATGGAAAGAGATTTGATTGCACAGACAAAGTCTTCTGCGATACGTTGGAAAGAGAAAATAAGACCGTTCATCTGATTGGATCTGCTTCCATCATGGTACGTCAGAATACCTTCATGATCACAAGGATCAGATGTTTATCTTCAAACTGTTGTACAGTAACTCCATAAAATGTATACAGCAATGGACCATTACAGAGGTTTATTCAACTTAAGAACTCTTAAGAATTTCATAATCCTGTGGAAAAAAGAGCCCACTTTAATTAGGCTCTGTTTACCAGTTCATGACAAACTTATCTGGTCTCCAAAATTTGGTTTTGTAGGTTGTGGTGAAAATGTTATGTCAGATGTAAAGGGGGAAACAAATATCACAAGATGACACAACAAATGTTACTTTTCACGGGAATGTACTTTTTATTTGACTAAAGACATCAGGAAAAGGGACTTGGAAAGAGAACTTGCTAATTTGCCGATACCAGGAAGAATCTTATCTTTTTCTGGCTGAATCATTTCTAAACTAAACTCATGAATATTCTAGATTTACAACATATTTCCCTGGCTGGGCTATTTCCTTAAGAACTGGAGGGATTTGATGAAGAATATGGCAAAAGATAAGTTGGTCAAAGAGAAGATAATAACAGACCTGACGGAGACTCTGGACCCTGAGACGTGCAGATGTTTTGTTGATGCTTTTCTGATCCGTAAGAAACAACTGGAGGTGAGCTGTTAACTTTTGGATAATATTTGTATTCCTAGACCATTGCACCAGAATACTGATACTCCACTTGATGCTACTCAGCTGCCTGTAGGATCTAATAAGACGAGCTGTTCTCTTTTAATTAGGTTGTCATTGTTTTTTTTTATTTTATTTTTTGTTCTTTGCACAAATCTGCTTGGGTGCAAACGCCTGACTTCTTGTGTCCTGTCGTATAGAATAGAAAGGTGGCACCTAGTCACTACTTGACATGCGTCCATGTTTCTACCCAGTTGGAACTTACCAAGACTTAGTGGATTAAACCCAGGAAAAGGAATTCTCTTTATATAGCACCTATCAAGATAAAGGAGGAGGAGAGGACAGGAGTACACAGGGTTCATCCCAGACTGCAGCTAGCGACAGGCCGGGCCCTGTGGATCCAGAATAAGCTCATGTTATTCACCAACTTTATTGTCTTTTGTGTTGTACAAGGATTCCGGTAACTACAATTCCCACTACCATAAGGACAACCTCTTCTACAGTGTGGACAATCTGTTTGCTGCTGGGACTGACACCACAGCAGTCACAATCAGGTGGGGTCTCCTCTACTTGGCAAAGTTTCCTCACATTCAAGGTACGATTAATCCTCTTTGGGCTGGTCATAACTTTTAGTGCTCCCACGTTGAGGATTAATGTTTAATTTTACTGTGGATCCAGATCGGGTCCAGGAGGAGCTGAGCAGTGTAGTTGGAAGCCGGGAGGTTCGTATAGAGGACCGAAAGAACTTGCCGTATACTGATGCTGTCATCCATGAAACTCAGAGACTGGCTAACATCGTCCCCATGGCTCTTCCTCACACCACAAGTACAGACGTCACTTTTCAGGGCTACTCCATCAAAGAGGTGACCAACAGAATAAAACCAGTTTAACAAGTTTTCTTTCTTCCATATGTGGCTCCTACATAAGTCTGTTCCTTAATCTACAGGGAACCACTGTTGTTCCTCTTCTTACTTCGGTCCTGTGTGATGAGAGTGAGTGGGAGACCCCTTACAGTTTCAACCCGTTTCATTTCCTGGATAAGGAGGGTAAATTCATCAGGAGAGATGCATTCATGCCCTTTCTGGCAGGTACATTGATGGATTTGAGATGTCAGTAAAAACTGTTGGATATTAATTTTATTTTGAAAGCTCCCTATACTGGCCAAGTAACTGACCCTGTTTTAGCCCCAACCAACTTACAGAAAAAATGGTTTAACCTGTTTTTCTTTGCAGGTCGGAGGGCGTGTGTAGGGGAAGGTCTTGCAAAAATGGAACTTTTCTTGTTCTTCGCCTCCCTCCTTCAGAATTTTTCTTTCTCTCCCCCACCTGGAGTTTCAGAAGATGATCTGGATCTGGAACCAGCTGTTGGTTTGACCTTTCCCCCCAAACCTCAACAGCTATGCGCCATTTCTCGTCACTGAGGATCAGTCGGACTTGACTTTGTTCCGGTTTTTTAGAAATCTTAATTTACTTTTAACGGGGTTGGAAGATTTAAAATTCATTTTCTGCAGATAAAATTCTTCACTGCACACAGTGTTGCTTAGCAATTCTGCTAACACTTCAGTTCTGCACCAGCTGAAAACATCAAAGTCATGTGTTAATCCTATGTCTCAGTTCCATTTTAATTTCCTTTTTTGTTAAATATTTTTCTGTTGAATACTGTAAAATAATAAACTCGTCTCAAGGCACTTCAGAGTAAACATTCCTATACAGGTCGGTTCATTAATCCAATCAGTGAAGTTTCCTATATAAGGAACCCAGCAGATTGTATCAAGTCACTGATTAGTGTCAGAGTCCTTAAGCAATCCTCACACTAAGCAAGCATTTAGCGACAGTGGAGAGGAAAACTCCCTTTTAACAGGAAGAAACCTCCAGAGGATCCTGGCTCAGTATAAGCAGCCATCCACCACGACTCACTGGGGATCGAGAAGACAGAACAAACACACACACACCCGCCCAAAATGAGTGCAGGGAGATGGTCAACATTGCCTTTTTTACCGATGTTGCTGATTCTTAATTTCTGATGAAAATCTAAACAAATATCCATCCATAAAGGCCGTGTCTCTCAATAAAAAAAAAACCTAAAACATTTTAGTTAACATCACAATAATTAAAGTGACTTATGCCTTTAAACATTTTTGTGCTAAATGACAATCATTTCAATGTGTTAGTAAAATAAACGTACCACAGTCACTTGGTCTCCAACAGCAGTGAGTCTCTTTCTCCTTAAAGCCTAATTACATTTCTCCAGTAGCTCCACGAGGTGGAGACGCACATATTGACAGAAGTTTTGCTGTCAGACTTCTGCAAAGCAGTCCCCAGCTTTGCACCTACGTACATCACCAACTGTTGTCTTCCATGGAAGACAACAGTTGGTAGTGGGACCCAGGGCCAGATTAACACTTTGTTGTACCCTGGGCAACAATATTCAAGGGCCCCTTCATCATGACCCAAGGATCACCATAATATGGTCACATACAGAATATTTTACTGTAATATGCAGTAAATATACTCAATACTTGAATGCCTGACATCACGTAACCCGCTCAGGGTAACCTTTGACCCACCTCGTGTGGACTGACCAATGAGGAGAGGGTCTTAACTTGAGGCCCTCTCTTCATTGGTCAGTCTGCATGAGACTGACTCTCAACTGACGTTCAGTCGTAGGCAGTGAAGCGTCTCTGTGCAGCGCAAAAGCCCGGGTGGACAGTTTGTTGAATATAGGGTGACCATATCTCCATTTCCAAAAAAGAGGACAGGGGATCTGTGCCTATGACGTCACACTATGGTAACGCCACACAAACCACGTTGGGACCCATTTTTTTGTAAGAACTAAAATTAATATCAGATTCTGCCAATAAAAGGGTTCTAAAACAATTCATATGTAAATATTTAGCATATTTATTGCAAAATCTCATTTTTCTGCTTTAGTGCTGCAACAAGGTTTTATTAATAATAAATTATTATACCTTTTGTTTTACTACAGCATCGTTACGCTTCCTGTGCACAGATTATTAAGGATGCTTGTTTCAGCTGTGAGATTAGACGATAGGGTCAATGAAAAAATAAGTTGTCACACACTCCATGGAAGCTTTCAGAGAATCCACAAATAGTGGCTTTCAAATGGTTTTGTTACTTTTTGCAACTTTAGAAAAGCAGCAGATGAGACAGCATGTCTGATAATTTAGTTTTTCATCTGATAATATTAGAACATGTCAGCAATGACTGAGGGGCTTTTATAAACACTGTATAACTAATACTCCTGGAGAGGGTATGAATTACACAGAGGCTTCTGGGGAGCCCAGTTAGGGGGGGGGGGGGGGGGTGTCATTCTGCCTTGGCCCTCAAAATGTCTTGAAACGGCCCTGGGTGTGTGACTGAGTTTTGAAGGTGATCTGAATTGTATCAGATGTATAAATATTACATGTGTAGAACTTATTGTTTTATACAGGTAAAAACGTGTAGTGGAGATAAATCTACCTACATTTTACTTTTCAACACTTTGTTTTGTTTTCTTGTTTTTATTTAACTATTGTCCTGTCCTGTCTGTCTCTCATCTTCCTGCATCTCCTCTAAACTCTCCAGAAAAACTGTTGCCTGGATTCTTACTTTTTCACCTCATCAGTTACTTTTGAGCAGATCAAAGGGATCTCCTGACCGCAAAGCGGAGAGCGCGTTTCGATGCTGCGTCAGTGAGGTGAAATCACTGCAGCACAGGTGATGAGCTCCGCAGTGGCAGAGCGCTTCAGGCACAAATAAGACAGAAAGTAGAGAACATGTGCGGACATGAACGATCGTGTGCTAATTATAGTTTTTTGGTTGCGCCACTTTGAGAATGAACCGTGCGCTGGAAGCAGCTGCCTGGAGCGCTGCGCAACAACGATCAGCGCTATCTGTGCTCTCTTCTCAGTTAAGTCCATGAATGATGTAATATCAGTAGAAAACTTTTTTCCGGCTCCCCTGGATGTGTAGGATATACAGCTCCCCCATAATTCGTTCCCTGCTCCTGGATGAAAAACCGGACATTTTCATCAATACAAGAACCCCCAGTCCGGACGCCCTGGACAGAGAGTGAAAAGTGGACATATCTGGGGAAAAGAGGATGTATGGCCACCCTAGTTTAATATAAAGTGGGAGATTACAGATACAGTATTTTGCTCGCGCCCTTGCTGCCCTGGGCCCTTTAGAGTTCGTGGGCCCTGGGCAATTGCCCAGTTGCCCATATGGTTTTTCCGGCCTTGGTGGGGCCTTAGAACGGAGGAAAAATATTCCAGTAGATTGTTTTAGTCTGGCCTCTGCTTGTTTAAACCTAGCACACCTCAGCTGGGTTCATAGAGACCAGTATTTACAAAGTCAGATAGCTAGCTTAGCGGACAACAGAGGGTGTAGCATTAGTATGAGGTATCCTGCTACCATTACAGTCATGTATCCAGTCCACAATGGTGTATTTACTGTTGTTTACATTGTTTTAATGTATTTCAGAAACCTTGGAACACAAATTTGTCCCCCAGCCACCTCTTCATGTGATCGGAACCTCTAAACTCACTTTTCTTTTTTTCCATCCATGAATAAAACATGGCTTTGTAGTCCAGTCACAGATGAATAAATGTTCATATTTTAGGACTTTTCCCGTGATGCATTCTTCAATCTGTTCCATGTTTGCCGCTAGATATCTTTTTACTCTTTGAAGGGGCAAAGGCATTGCTGTTGACGACTTTACAGAGAGCGGCAATCTCAAGCTTGTGGTCTCCGCCACTTTCGAAGGATATTTAAAAATTTGGCCTTTCAAAGAGCTCCTACGCCGACACACAATGGCATTGTGCGTCTCCGTGCCAACGCAGACGAAGAAGTATAAATTGAGATGCTAAAATGTGTATTTTTAATGTATTTGTTTGCATTCTGTAACTTGCAGCTATGAGATAAAATGTTTCCAAAACTCTGATAAAGCAAGCCTTGGGTTAAGCTCTGTTTTAGGGGTTTGTCAGCTGTCTAGCTACACATGGCTACGTACTGCGAGGACAGTGTTTTTTCACTACACGGGGCAAATTTCATCTTCACAAGCTGCGCCAAATAAACAAATCTCTAATAAGAGGAAATTGTGAAATGTACTCCTTAATTTAAAACAATCAGCAGAATTTACTGTTCATGTGGAGTGAACGTTCAGGTAAAATCTACTGGTTTTTGGTGAAGTGCATCCTTTTGTTTGGGAGTGAATTTTCACCCCATCAGAAATTTTGTGTAACAGTTTAGATCTGATGAAGCAGCTGAAACACAAAGCTCTACTTACTGTTCAATGTTCAAACCCTCACCTATGGTCAGAAGATTTAGATCATAAAAAAACTTGATTCCATTCGAATCATAGATGCTTTACACCCAACACCATTCAAATTTTAGTCAGTAATAAGATAAAAACAAGAACAATCTAGATGTCCATTTGTTAATTAATTAAAAAAATCTGCAAGTGGGAAATAAAATATTTAGTTGTTTTAGAGGTAATTCTTAAAAAAAATCTCTATGAAACTTGATTTTATTTTCTGTGTGTGGATGTCATAAATACTCAGGAGTAGGGGCAGAGGATGTAAGGTTTATACTCATGGATAACAGGTGAACACCAGCTCTACAGTCTCTGACTGCATCCTGCAGGGTACAGTTTTGTTGGCTGGTTAGCATGAACATTTCAGTTCTGAATGCTGAGAATTCACAAACTAAACTGTGACTCTAAAACAAGTTTTCTATGATAGAAATCCCACACCCAGTTGTGGAGCAATGACATGTTGTAAACTTCACAGGAGGTTCAGCTCAAAACTCTCGAGTCTGAGATGAACAGCAGATGGGCCTCGGGGATCCACGGGCCTTTTCTCACACTGGGGATTTCACGGTTCCACACAGTCCACTGTGCTCAGTGTATACACATTAATGTGTTACTATTTAGAATTGCTGTGGCGCTGTGCTCCTTATGTTATATGCAGAGAGATGAAGGGAACCAGATGGGAGGAGGTGTAGACATTTTCCTGCAGGTCTTATAACAACATGGACCAGCTTAGCTCGGTGACAAAATCAGACGGCCAGAAGCAGATATCTTTCAAAATACCGCCAAATGATAAGGAAATCCCTTTACCTGTAAACACTCACATCTTGATCAAAATGTTATAAACTGTACAGCAGCTACAATAAACCCATCCATCCATCCATTGTCTGAACCCACTTTGTCCACGTAGGGTCGCGGGGGGGCTGGTGCCTATCTCCAGCGCTACATTAAACCTATTTAGGGCCAAATATCATTCGACTGAGGATGTGTTGAGTTTCTCCAGTTTTAAGCTTCATTCTCTAAGCTTTCTCTCAGCTCAGAGCCTACTTATGTAATTTATTCCACAGAGATCGGCTCTCAAATTATTCTTTCACACTAAAGATTCATGGGTGGCACCCAAGAAAAGAAAACATGGGTACCATTTACCACATGCTTCTCTCAAACACAAGGAGATCAAAAAGGTTTTATATTTTAGCAGAAGCTTTTATCCAAAGTGACTTACACTTTACCAGTAGGACTGAAGAAGATCCGGGGCTTAACACACACACACACACACTCACACGCGCGCACACACGCACGTGCACGCTCGCACACACACACACACGTGACACACACTAGTCAACATCATATATGTACCACATAATTTTTAATCTGAAGCTACATATTAAGCATTTTCAGGGCAGAGTATTGTTCCTGTTAGTGTTTAGTGTGAGATGATAGGGAATATTCCCGTTCTTTCTCCATCAACTTTAATGATAAATGATAAATGACTCGCACTTGTATAGCACCTCTCAAAGTAAGGACTCCAAAGCGCTTTACACTACACTGTATCATTCATCCATTCACACACTCATTCACACACTGGTGGGGATGAGCTACGATGTAGCCACAGCTGCCCTGGGACGCACTGACAGAGGCGAGGCTGCCGAGCACAGGCGCCACCGGACCCTCCGACCACCACCAGCAGGCAAGGTGGGTTAAGTGTCTTGCCCAAGGACACAACAGCAGAATTCTCTGTCCAGAGCCGGGATCGAACCTGCAACCTTCCGATTACTGGACAACCCGCTCAACCTGTTGAGCTACTGCTACTTTACCTGATGGTAAGCTAACTTTAGGCAAACCAGCAGCACAACAAATATTTTCAAATAAGACTCACAAACCTGAGTCAACACCAGTCTCATCAAAGCTGGGGTTCTGTCGATGATCTTCACTCATGCGTTTCAGGCAGACTGTAGAAGAAGCCGGCTGCTGAAGGGCTTCTTCTTCAGTGGTGGAGGCTCAGGCAGGCTGTATACAAACTACTTCCAGCTGCTCCCTCTCTGTTGGACTTTGGTACTGCATGTTACTTCCACGATTTAGATCCGGGGCTTTTCATAAAACATTTGGGGCTTGAGCCCAAGAAGCCGGGCCTAACGCCGCCCCTGCACTTTACCATTCTCTGTTTTTCAGCTGTAACCTGCATTTCTGCTCCAGTCTATTGTTGTCAAGTCATGTGACCTCATACACAGCAGAGCATGGGGAGTGGTCACCAAGAGAGAAAGTAGTCAGGACTAAAGAAATGAGAACGTATTGAAGACAAAGGATTGAAACCAACAAAAGCATTGATCCTGTCCTGTTCATCAGTGGTGTCAGTAGCTTCAATATTTAGACTGATCTGCCTGTTCCGAATTCCTGGAAGAGAGAAATCTTGTTTTCATAATTCTTGGTGATCACTAGGATTGGAATGTGGAGGTAGAACAACTGAACATCAAAAGGATTGTGTCTTTCAGCTCAGGAGAAGTTTACAGCTGAACATGTTGGAAGATATTTTTCAGTCCCCCACCTCTCTCTCTCTGTTTGGGGTAACAATTGCTCTACTGCTATTCCACTTTCTTCACTCCAACTTCAGCTCCCAGGAAACCCAGCACCCACCAGGACCCAGAGGTCTTCCTCTGATTGGTAACCTGTTTCAGATGGATCTGAAGAGACTGGATCAGAGTTTGTTTGATGTGAGTAACATACTGTTCAGCTGATTACAGATACCTTGGTTTTACAAACTATGAGTCTCACTGTTAGCTGATTTGTGTTTTTAGTTGTCTAAGAAATACGGACCAGTTTTCCAAGTCTACTTTGGACCACAGAAGGTGGTGGTTCTGGCTGGTTACAGAACCGTCAAACAGGCTCTGGTGAACCATGCTGAGGAATTTGGAAACCGAGAAACTAATCCGTTGTTTTACGATTTGAACCAGGACTATGGTAATCAAGGGTTATTAAACTGTATATTTTGTTGAAACAAGCTAACTACTTCTGTTTTTAGGCATTGTATTTTCCAACGGTGAAACATGGAAAGAAATGAGGCGTTTTGCTCTGAAAACCCTGAAAGATTTTGGAATGGGAAGGAAGATAAGTGAAGAGATAATTATCAACGAATGTCACTACTTGATCAAAGAATTTGAACAATGTGAAGGTAACAGTTAGAAATCAGCGCAGATGTTTATTTACACAGTAAATGATTGTGTAAATAGTTTTGACCCTTTGCATCCTTGTACATCACCTAAGTGGAAGACAACAGTTAGTGATGGGACTATTGAATGGAGGAAAAAGTTCCAATAGAGATTGTTTTAGCCTGACCTCTGCTTGTTCAAACATACCTCACTTATTGGAAGAAGCAGCACACCTCAGCTGGGTTCATAGAGACCGGGCGGGATTTACAAAGTCAGTTAGCTAGACAGAGAGCTCCACGGCAGCCAGCATGGCTGAAGCATTGCATTGCATCACAGCAATTAGACCCGAGTGGCCAGGACAAGCAGATGATTTGCAGCCTCCACCGAGATCCCAGATCCTGCAGAATGGAGGGAGAAGGAAACTCTTCTGCAGCTTTGTGGAACTCTGACTTCTCATCCAAAAAGCCAGAACTGAATAAGCTTTTTAGATGAGAAGTGAAATGCGTTCAAGAAAAACAAGAGAACCTTCAACATCATCTTGCTAAAAAATGTAATTTCCAACAATGGAACAATTACAATAGTTTCTAGAAATTCATTATAGAGGACAAAAATGTATGTCCATCACAGTGAAATAAGATCATCAGTACTACAAACGCATCACGTTTGTCATTTTAGGCCCATCACAGCCAGTCCCTGACGGTCTTACCCATGAAATATATGAACATTAATCTTACCTGGTAAAAAGTATTTGCTGCAAATCCACGAATACTCTTAGAGCTACCAGTCCTTTTGATTGACATCTTCTGTCCATCACTGTCTTCTGTCTCCATCAAAAGTTATGCATAAAAAGAAAAGTTGGCTTTACTCTTTTGTCTTTAGTCCATCCACCTGTGCAGCAAGCTATTAGCATTTAACCCTTTGATGCATGAATTATGAAATCTTCAACCATGATTTTTTTTACACAATTTTTTCATTCATCTTTAGGTGTGAATGAAACAAATTTAAACAATTTTTTTGTAACATTTCATAATTTACAAATAATTTATTACATGTCCATCTCAGTGGACAGTGAGCTTTCTGAACATGAAATATGTTGGCTTGACTTACTGAAGTCCAAATGGAGGGGCTCAAATGCAATAAAGTCTTCAACAGCTGTGCTTAATTGCAAAAATAAATAAATAACAATTTTGAGTACCTGTCCACTGTAGTGACCATTATGCATCAAAGGGTTAACTTAGAAATCAACCAAATAAAAGTGATTTTAAGCTACAAACAGGATTGTTTTAGCTTTACAGGAGATTCAACGCACATCAATATTTCCTTTGAGTCATAACAACCAAGGCATTCCCATGAACAGTGGGACGTCACATGCAAAGGGTCAATAGGGTTTACGAGGTTAAACAGATATCTCTGTAATATTAGCATAGAAATGACTGAATGTTACTCATTACTATTGACTGATTTATACTCTTGAACAGGTAAAGCCTTCAACAACATCCAGGCCATCAATTACGCTACTTCAAATGTGATTTCGACTCTAATGTTTGGAAAGAGGTTTGAATACACCGACCAAATCTTCCAAGCAATGGTGAGAAGAGATAATGAGACAATCCATCTGATGGGATCAGCTTCCCTTATGGTATGGAAAAATCCATTTACAATTCAAAAAGATATTCCGATTGTGCCTTTTGATGTTGTATCGGATTTTGTCTGCAGTCAGGAGAATTTTTTTAAACCTTTAACACATTCCTTGATTTCATTATCACTATATCCCCCCAGTAACTATCAAGATAACCATATTTCAGTTCAATTCTTAATGCTTAGTTTTCATTTTTTGAACAAATTTCCGAGCAGTTTCTCCTAAAACTTTTCTCTTGCTGCTGAAGAAGATGCTGATAACAATCTGAGTGCAAAGGTTCACACATGCCTGTTAAGCACAGACGTGTTAAATGAGATTCTTGCACTGTGGATATTCTTGTGTTGTTGCTACCGCTACATAACGAGGTCAGTGTGCTGGATCCTGAGTTAAAGTTTGTTTTTTATACATTATATATTTGCAAAATACACAACATTTATGAAGACCATAGACATAGATGCTGAACGTAGCAATGCTTATTTCTCACATTACTCTTAAATGATAGCATAGCATAGCATAGCATAGCATAGTTTATTTATATAGCACATTTAAAATGCAGCATGGGAGCTGCCCAAAGTGCTGCATAGGCTAAAACAAAACACACCATTACAAGGAGCTAAAACAAAGGATAAAAATCTCAATTAAAAGCAGAGAAAACATGATGAATAAAGAGCACATTAAAACAATGACACAATAAAACACTGAAACGAGTCACTGTCTAAAAGCCAAAGTGTAAAAGTGGGTCTTTAAACGAGATTTAAAAACCGCCAGAGATGGAGCCTGCCGAACTCCAATGGGCAGTGAGTTCCATAGCTTTGGGGCAGCATGGACAAATGCTCGGTCCCCCCGCGATTTGAGTCTCATCCGCTCATCCCCATTGAAAATGGGGGGTTCCCATCACCACCATATTGGCCGTGTCACATCTTGTACCACCCAGACAATCTAAAAATGTGAAAAGAAGTGGAGCTGAGGGTGGGGCTTTGAAGGTAGGAGCATATGAACCAAAATGAACTAATGTAGCTACTAGATAACCTCCAGAGCTAGGAAAGAGTTCTGTGGCAGCCGGCCCGCGCAGCCGCCTGGCTTCCGTGCAAGGCTTTAGTCATGCTGGTCGCCTGTGGAGCTCTAATATGGACTGTTAAAATACAGCTGTAATCAGAGCCGGGTACCCTTATGTGAGTTCATGCTCAGCCACAGTCGGAGATCAGTGGAAGATTAGCTCCATGCTAATCTGACGCTAACAGGAGTTCTCGGGTGCTTCTAGCAACCGAAACGCGGTTGAGCGACTCCAAACTGATGTAACATTAATTCAAAGAGCTGGAGTGTTTCTGAAGTCTTGCTCAGAGAGCGCCGCAGGCAATCGGCATAACTACAGCTTCACCAGGCAGCCACGTGTCTTGACGCATTCGGGAGAAGGGAGTGTGTTTGGCCCAGGGCCGCCAACCCTCACGCATTGTTTGTGAGACACAGGCATTTGACCTTCTTCACATGCTGTCTCGCCACATCTCCAGTATCTCGCGTTGATTAATGAACTCCCCTGGACAGTGAACAGGGTGAAACGGTCCACTATTCAACCAGCAAAATAAAGTACAGAAATGTAATTTTACTTACTGATAAAAATGAAGCAGAGACTTCTTGGATGATCTGTTTGCCCTCTTTGTCCAATAATTTCATGATTAACATCCACATCCGTACACACGGAGGACTAAAGTTTAGAGAGTCGAAATAGCCAAACATCTATTAACGTTAGGCTGAGGCCTTTCCCAGAGCTTGCTGCTAGCACTAACTCTGACATGGCCATGGTGCACTTACTTCCTGTCAATCAAAACTAATAATTCATCATTTTTAATTACACTTAAACGGAAAAGTTACAAAAAGTCACCCTATTTGAGTCATCATGACTGTTAACTAGAAAACCTAAAATGGTTTTTGAACCAGGCAGTAGACATGTTTTTTTCTGCTATGAAACTGGCCTTTTTAACATGGAGTCAAGGATGATTTGCTCACTTCTGGTGCCAGCCCCTAGTGGATGTGGGGAGAACAGCAATTTCTGGCACTTCTGAGTTGGGAGCAGTCTAGATCCATGGGGTGTCTATCTATCCCTTTGATAAAGACACATGATCAGCAACGCCAAGCCTGTGATAATAAATTTTTTGCAGAGTTTGGTGTTATTTGGTTGTTGTTGTGGCTGCATGGTGGTGCAGTGGTTGGCACTGTTGCCTCGCAGCACGAAGGTTGCAGGTTCGAAACTCTGCTGCGGCCTTTCTGCGTGGAGTTGCGTGTTCTCCACATGCATGCGTGGGTTTCCTCTGGGTACTCCAGTTTCCCCCACAGATCACAACATGCCCTATAGGTTATAAATTGTAAGTCGCTTTGGATAAAAGCGTCTGCTAAATAAATAAACATAAAACAGATAAAGATACTTATCTTTGAAGTTTATATAAAGATACTTAAAGGAAACTTTTATTTTGTGAAGTACTGTTAGCTGTATTTTATTACTTGTACCGTGAGTGCCTTTAGACAAAATCTGCATGTTTTGCACACTGGCAGGATAACATCTTGTGATGTCCAAAAAGGGTCATTTTTCATCTACAGTTTGAGCTCTTCAGTATCCGGCCATCTACAGACGTATTCTGCCTCTGGTGCCCTCTAATCTTCCAAGCTGCAAGAAAGATTCTGCAGTGCTTGTTGACATCCCAAGATCACACTAAAAGTGGGTCAGGTTGGGTCCTACTGATGTAAAAGTTTAAAACAACTACATTAAAACTTCACATGTGCCCTGATTCTTTCCTCTAAGATATAAATATTTGTGTTCTGCTGCTATAATATCTGCTTATGTTGCATAAACTGAAATTCTGTTTTATTCTGTTAAACGTGCCTCCTGCACATGAGACGAAATAGGCCAGACACCATCATCCACCTGAATTTAAGACTAACAGGTACCAGACTACATGTCTGGGTCAAGAGAATCACACCACAATCAGAGATGTGTGTGTGTGTGTCTTCATTGCTAAATGACTGCATCATTAGTGTCATTTAGTTTTACAACATAGTAGGCACAGTATAAATGGACAGCCTCAACATTGGAAGAAGCCTTTTGCAGATGCACTCATCTCTAACATCCATATATACTGACAGACCAGTATATACAGATGTTTTCCTCATAAAATTCATATAAACACCAACAATAATACTAGGAGTTTAAAGGCTACAAAAGACAATAAGCCAGAGGTGAAGGTTTATGCATTTAACAAGAAATGTCATAAATGATCATGGTTTTCACATCAAGGCTGATGTGAAAATCTAATCCAGATCAGTCCAGGTCAGAATTATCATCTCATCTGTCTCATGATCAGCAGCAGCTGGATGTTTATGGCCACAAAACTTCAATTGAAGCACGCTCCTTTTAAGTCTTGTGTTTGCTCACGATCCATGTTTCCGTTTAGATACTGTCTCTCCTCCATGGATGTACCTGCCTGTCAGGGTGTTTAACCACTGGCTGGTCAGCTGATGCTGCTGTCAGTCATTGTGGGAATGTGTACGGTGTGGGGAAACAGTTTTAATTTCTCTCCTCTGCCTGAGCTGATGGTGACGCGCGGCGTGCCTCGTGGCAGTGATGCGCCAAAATGCGGCCCGTCATGGAGCTCGTGCCTGTCACGTTGAGGAGCGGATGGCGGCGGACCATGTGTGGTGGAGCAAATCAGGAGGCAGGAATGCAGGCACGGATTAAATAAAAGTAGTTTTAATGGCAGAGCGGGAACGACAAAAACAAAAACTGACAACACTGACAACAAACAATGATCCAACAGACTCAAACAAGACGGGAGGTATAAATACACAGGGGGAAATCAGGAACACATGGGCAGGTTAACAAGGGGCAGGTGAGACAAGTAAAAACTAATCAAGGGCAGGGGAGAGACACAGTCAGGGAGGCAGGAGCAGATTGTGACAGTGCCAGACTGTGGATGACTGATGTTATAGGACAGATTTCGACTAATGAATACCTGGAAAATTTACCGGTATGCACTGTACCCTAGAAAAAGTACTGGCATGCTGAAAGGTTATATTTAGAAGTGGCGGTGGTGCTGGTACCGGTCCCATGCACTGCTCTCTTTCCCCAAAGGATGAGTCTGATGATCTGATCATCATCATGATCCGTTCCTGACAGCCGCTGTTTCTTCCTCCCCAACCCACCCCACGTGCCCAGCATTGCGCTCTGCGCAATAATTAAACTGGCCCAAAAGTTCCACCTTAAACCGGTTCTCCCACCATGACCACATACAGGCCAGCCTGGACATGCATCTGTGGCCAGAGCTTTCTTCTTTTTCAATCTCTCTTTCTGCTCCACCTTTCCTGGTCCGTCTGGGTCCATTTTGCCTCTGGGGCCGAAGGTGCGGTGGCGCTGTAGCCGCTCTGGGGTGGTGGGTGTCTGCTGCGCCTTGCCAGACCCCAAAAAAGTGAGAGGAGGGGTTGTCTTTGTGCACAGTTTGCTCCGTTTGTGCGAGCATCAGGACCGCAGATGCCCTGATGAGCTGCATGACGGATTGCTCATTTAGATATTACATACGTCATGACCGGCAATCACTGAGCGGGCCAGTTTAACGGCCAGGCCACCAGGAAATCTCCCGTGTCTCCCGATTACCAGTCCACCACTGAAGAGATGTGTGTTAAGTTAGAGAATGTGGACGCAATTTTAATCCCCCCCCCCCCCCCCCCCCGTGCGTGTTCTGGCATGTTTTACCTTTAGTGTTTAGTGAACTTTGGTTTGACGTCAGTATCTGCGTTCCAGGAACGTTTGCTTTTCAAATTAAGCACTGTCTGTAGATGGCCGATACTGAAGAGGTCAAACTGTAGATGAAAAATGACCCTTTCTGGACATTTCAATCTTAACCAAACTAAATAACATAAATCAAATGTAAATGGATGGATTTTTTTCTACTCTGACCAAATATCTGATTTGGTTTGTATGATTGTTAATGAAATCACATTTTTTAGATTTACAACCTGTTTCCTCGGCTGGGCCCTTTTCTGAAAAACTGGAGAAATGTGATGCAGAACGTAAACGACAATAAGGCACACTTGAGAAGGATTGTTGCCAACCGTAAGGAGAGTTTGGATCCTGGAATATGCAAATGTTTTATTGACGCATTTCTGATTCGTAAGAAACATCTGGAGGTGAGATGTGAAACTCCAGTGAGTTAACAACAAATTGAACAATGATCACAGGTTTATAATCCAGCTGTTCTCATTTTTTTTTTTTCAAGGATTCTGGAATCAAGGATTGCCACTACCTTGATGAAAACCTGCTGTACAGTGTGATGAATCTGTTCTCAGCTGGAACTGATACCACTGCTAACACTCTGAAGTGGTGTCTTCTTTACATGGCCAAGTTTCCTCAGACTCAAGGTACGGTCATTCCTCCATGCTAACCGTGGTTAGTCTCAACCTTAAATGACTTTTCAAGCACCAGTGTACATTTAGATTTACTGTTACTGCGTGTGATACCGCGCAATATACTACACTGTGCATCCAGATCAGGTCCACGAGGAGCTGAGCAGGGTGGTTGGAAGTCGACAGGTTCGGATTGAGGACAGGAAGAACTTGCCGTACACCGATGCTGTCGTCCATGAGGCACAGAGACTGGCTAACATCGTCCCCTTGGCTCTCCCTCATGCCACCAGCAGAGATATGATCTTACAGGGCTACTTCATTAATGAGGTCAGTCTCTCACATAGGTGATGGCTCAAAAATATGAAATCATATCAAGATCACACTTTCAGTTCTCTTTTTCTCAGTTTCTCTTTTTTCAAGTTTCTCAATAATAACAACTCTTGATTGCATTATTTGGATCTTTTTTAACACAGAAGAGGGTTATTTTACTTTTTTGTGTTAAGAACAAAATAATGCAATCAGACGAAACAGAATGAATGCACAAAATAAATAACAAATTTTATTCCTTGGAACAGCAGTAACAAAAAGTAAAACATTCTGACCAAATAAAATTTCTGTGCAGATTTAAATCAGTTCAGATTTTACTGTGGCAATATGGCTCATGTGGCAGACCACCAGAGGGCTCCACTCACACCCATAGATGGGATGTGATATGTGTGGGAGGAGACGTGCTTTGTATACCTTTTTGTGTATCTGTTGTGCGAACTCACTTGGAGTGATTAACAGATGTGAGCAGAACTATCTCGTGTCATCCCTGCCTTCCTCCACAACCCTACATTAAACAGGCGGTAGAATTAAAAGCAACATTATCCTTGTTGTTGGTGAATAAAGACAGCTTGGGTGGTCAAATGTAGCATACCAAAAAGTCAAAGCCGTGAGTGACCTTCTTTTTATGTAAAATAGAAAGGTGAAGAAGGGCGACCGAAAAACTCCCAATCTGAGCAAGGCTGCCTAACATGTCATGGTAGCCAGTCCTGCTACTTCTACATGTTCCAACCCACTTCAGCGTCAGCTATATTTAAACGCTGGTCACAGCAACGCTACCGCAAAGCCACGGTCAGCCGGGCCTTTGTTAGCAGCAGCTAGCTGTTAGCTTCAGCCGCTAGCTACAGCCTTGTTGCAGGGCAGAAAAAGAACCACTCAGGTTCCAGGATGTACTGGTAAATCCAGATTATAAATGAATGCCAGATAGGTACGCAGCTTGTGGTCCAGTATTTTTCTTGCAAGGTGGATAAACGAGGGCCCGGGCGGGATTCGATCCCCAGACTCCCAGGTGAGAGTCACACGCTCTAACCAGTCAGTCTATTTTGATCATGCGCCCTGGCTACTTGGCCAAGGGGATGTCCCTTTGGCTGACTGGTTAGAGCATATGACTCTCACCCGGGAGTCTGGGGATTGAATCCCGCCTGGGCCCTCAATTCTCCACCTAAGCCACATTTACCTCTTTGAAAATACACTTTTAGCATAGAGCTGCATGTATATTAGGGCTGAACGATTAACTGCATTTGCAATTAAATTGCGATGTGACAAAGGGAGATTTTCTAATCGCAAAGGCAGCAATTTGGCAGCGAGTGGTTAGCGCAATGCTAATATACATGGAAAAACCCATAGGAATGCTAATGCTAATTTCACCGATTACATTCTTACAAATTATGAATTAGAAACGCGCCAACTGATTACATTTGGAGTCTAATAGAAAGTAAAACTACCATCAATCAAATAAGTACAGACAGGTATTTTAGTAAAGCCAGAAAACTTTTAACTCCAGAGTTTTGGCTAGCAGCTATGAGTGTAACTGAACTACGCATGGACAAGACGTCAAAAACTAAACACAAAATACTTCAATAAACGGGACACACTTCTTTCCTGCAAATACAATTTCACAGGTGTTGCTAATACCTATGATCCTTCAAGGGATGTGCTCAAAGAGGAGTTCAACATTATGAATACAATATAGTGTTTTATTTTACAAATACCATTATAAACACAAACTTACATCGTAAGAAACATTATTTTAATAACGAAACTGCTAAATTCTTTCCAACAGTATAGATGTGTAGTGTATTTTGTCCGAGTGGGTTTGCCGTACTTTGACGTCATCGGCAGTCGAAGGACCCCGAACCGATCTTGCACCCGAGCAGATCTTGTACCGACACCGGTACTGTTGCACAGAGGACACAACTATTCCCGGACACCAGAGGTAGTCCCATTCTTACTGGGGTACTGATGAGGTATCCCCGCCCAATGCAGAGCAAAGCGACCCACCACCCCAGACCCCAAACGGACATTCAGCTCCTACTCCTAGCCTCCAGCATCGTGCAGCAAATCAAGAACAGAGGTGTGAGAAGACCCCTAGTCAGTGTTGGGCAAGTTACTTCAAAACTGTAATGCATTATTTATTACTTGTTACCCTCATTTTAAATTAATTCATTACATTACAATATTACTGATTTTAAAATGTAAGGCATTACACTACTTTTGCATTACTCTGTTACTTTCAACAAAACAGCGTCAGTATGACTTTGGTAATCTGATGCCTGGTGAACTCATGACACATTTGGTGGAAGGTGATGTGGTGTCTGAGCTAGGACTGCTGTTAAAAACAGTTCTTTAGAAGGATTGTTGATTAAATAAAAGCAACAACAATCTGTAGTCTCAGCACACTGCCATCTTAGATTAACTGAGCAGGGAGTGAGGTGGTGGGGGCTCCAAGTCTATTTAGCCTTGGTCCCCAAATGCCTTGATACGGCCCTGGATGTGGGACTGACTTCTGGGGTGATCTGATTCTTTCACATGTATAAATATTAAATGCTTATTTATTATTGCTTTTCACTGGTAAAAATGAGTATTGGGGATAAATCTACCGACTTTTTTTCTTTTCAGGCACTTTTTTCTTTTTTTCTTGATTATATTTGATTAATTTCCTGCCCTTTCTCTCTCTAACCTTCCTGCGTGCTGCATGCTTTCTCCGTCTTCCAGAAAAAAACTGTTTCCCAGATTTCCTACTTTCTAACCATCAGCTAAAGGGATCTTCACATGCGCGGCGCTCCAGCAGCAATGAGTTGAAATCACCGGGGCCCAGATGAACTCAGCTGAGGCAAAGCACGTCAGAAAAGTACAGAATACCAGAGAACATGTGCTGATAAGAACGATCGCAGGTGAATTATTTTGTTTTAGTGGAGCGATTTTGTGAATGCTACAGTGGCCGCGTGCAGGACGCAGCTGGAGTATTTGAGCCGTTACCACTGCGTCCTCTCTGCCTGCAAAGCTGAGTTCATAAATGATGTCATATATGCAGATACTGGATCTTTTCTCGAGTTTCCCGCAATTTGAATTTTTAAGAAACACAGCTTGATTCTGGGTTTAAAAATGCAATGTAATTTCCACGTTACTGACACTTGTACCGAGTAAATATTACCATTTTCTTTCCCTGTAATGCCTTACATTACCACATTACAGCAAAAAGCAATGCATTACAGTAATTAATTACTTTTGTACCGCATTACTCCCAACACTGCCCCTAGTATATATATATATATATATATATATATATATATATACACACACACACACACACACACACACACAGACACACACACACACACACACACACACACACACACACACACACACACACACACACACACACACACACACACACACACAATATGATCGAGGACTTAAATTTACTCATTTTTAACACCAGAGCGCAGGTGTGACATATTCCGAGGATGATCAAGAACACTAATTGGTTCCAATTGGATGACTGGAGGATGATGGGAAGATAAAAAATCATGATGAGGAATTATTGTTCTGACGAACAGGTGAGCAGAACTCCTTTACATGGGAAGTGTCGCTGTCATGTCAAGAAGGGGATGTCTGCAGACCCGCAGATTCACGTCTGCAGCGGCAAATCTGGTGCAATCTCCTGCATAACAGTTAGTAAATTTAAGTCCTCGATCATATTTGTGCCTGTTCTACTGTCATTTTTAAGGATTTTTATTCATACATATATGTTTTTACTTCGTTATTAGTAATAGAAATGCTAACAAAAACACCCAATTATACAAACAAGTGAAACTTGAAAATTTTTAATCTGGTGCAAAGTCCTTTTATTTCAGTAATTCAACTAGACAGAGAGACATTTTAAAGGCTCAGGAACTCTGGTGTTTTCTATTTGCAATTATAAATTTTAGTTGATTTGGGTCTTGTTTCATATCACAAAGTGACTTTTGAATAATTTAAAATGCTTTTTTTAAAAAAGAAATTAAAGCTTTAGTTTACAGTAATAACCATGTCTAATATTTGATTCTCTGTCTCATAATTTAGATGAAAAAATTTCTTTGAGGGCACATGCTCCTGAACAATTAAAATGTGATTAATTTTGATTAATTAATTACAAAGCCTCTAATTAATTAGATTTTTTTTAATCGAGTGCCATCTCCAATATAAATATATATTGTAATTTTATTTGCCTTTTAGAAATATTCTTCCTTTAAGTCAGGGAGGACCGCACCTTCTATGGATGAGCTGCCAGTAACATTTATTCTGGATGAACTATCTGACCTTTTGAATTGCAGATTTCTCTTAGTTTTCTTTCTTAAACAGGGAACCACAGTTTTCCCTCTTCTCACCTCTGTTCTGTATGACGAGAGCGAGTGGGAGAGCCCTCACTCTTTCAACCCTTCCCATTTCCTGGATAAAGAGGGTAAATTCATCAGGAGAGATGCTTTCATGCCCTTTTCTGCGGGTACGATGACAGATTTCATTAATGGTTCTTCTACTGTTAAGAATGTGCTTATTAAGCCTTATTTACTGTGAAATTCAGAGCTTACGATTTTTTAGTTACCGTTACAGTTAAGTAATTTGCACCTTCTTCTTTGCAGGCCGCAGGACTTGCCTTGGAGAAAGTTTGGCAAAAATGGAGATTTTTCTGTTTGTTTCGTCCCTTATTCAGCATTTCTGTATCTCTGCTCCTCCTGGAGTGTCAGCAGATGAACTGGATCTGAAGCCAGTTGTTGGTTTGATCCTCGCTCCTAAACCTCAAGAGCTGTGTGCTGTTCGTCGCTTCTGAAGGAGGAGAGCTGGAATGTCTTGATATATTTTTGCGAGGGGGTGTTGGAAATTAGGCTAATTAAAGTGTTTCTTAATGCCTCGTGTAACCGAGCTTTAACTGAGCTGCCTTAATTCTGTATTGATCCAGTATTGTTCTGACTGGACTTCTTATAGAAGTAAACAACACTTTAAAAAGTTCTTCAAAAAAGAAACTTTTTATTGAATTTTTAATGAAAAGGAATGTGTTTGAAATGTCACACAAACAATTTGTAATACAATCAATCTGGACATTAACACAACAATTAGATCTTGCATCACAGTGCTTGACTGGCCGAGAAATCTGCCTAACCTCATCAAGAGGATGATAAGATACACCAATAGTGCAGATGACCTGAATGACGCCATCAAAGCTACCAGCGCTTCCAGAGTGCCTCAGCGTAGCGGAGTCAGCAGCACCACAGGCTCCATGCCACACCACAATGATGCAGTAATTGATTCAAAGTGAGCTCCAACAAAGAACTGATTGAATATACAGACAGTCCATGGGCATGCTGTAGAGGGGCCAGCATCACTCCATTAAAAGCGTTAAGGAGCAAGTAGGGTAGTCCCTCTGAGATTCTGCTGATGAGTGGAGATGCTCTCACAAATACTGAGCTGAAGCAGGCTCACTTAGGGACCAGATTGTATTTAATAGGCTGTGATAATACAGATTCAACAGCTGAGCTACTCTGGATGGATTTATGCCTCCTGACATATGGTTGGTATTATATGGGCAAAATGGCTGTTGGAGTCCAGCATCAATGATGAATTTAGGATGTTGCTACATGGGTTACAAACTTGCATCAAACACTCTCTTTGCTGTTGCCTATGTGGTGCAGAGAAATCTGTAGGGTTTCAACAAAGACCAAACAACAGCTGTTTCTCATCACAGATTCATAACCCTAGCTTAACCTAAACCCATATAGAGGCTAAACATGCAGTCCTCTCCCTTCAAAATAGACACAAACACAAAGATCCTGCTGTCCTTTGATCTTAGAATCTGATATTTGTGTTTCTAATAGCAGAATAAACACTATGTGTACTGCATCAACATGTTTTATGTTTTTTATGAAACTATGACCTAAAAACTTATTGATGACGTTCTAATTAACTGGGATGTACCCAGAAAGAGTCATGCATAAGGCAGGAGTAGAAACTAGGACCTGGATTCCTGGAAGACAATGAAAACAGTCTGGTTGCAAGCCGGTAAGACAGGTGAGTATCAACAGTAGCATTTACAAGTGCAGCGCAAATGAAGCATCTCATCTTAAAGGGACTTTGCCTCAAATCAACGATCACATGATGAAGAATTAATTTAAATATTTGATGTCACATTTTCATAAAGCAAAAGGGCATTTACAGCCTGGAGGTTCTGCTCAGACTGGAGCAAAAATAAATCATTTTCACATTTAGTGGTGAGGCGTGTTAATGTGCTAAGAATGCATTGTAAGGTCATAATGGGTCAGCACATTTAAAGGATGGCTCCCACATCACGTGGAGTGGGTGGAGTTTCTAAATCCTTGTCTGCAGGGTTACGATTTTCAGCATAACACCAGCAAACAGACAAGAAACAAGCAGGGTTGTGTTAAATCTCCAGAGAGAAGACTACCGGAGAGCTGAAGGTTGGGTGAGTTGGAATGTTTTTTTTTCATGCAGCAGAAGTGCAAAGAATGGGCTTAAATGGCATCAGCCCACGAGCTAACCGTGTGGTAATCAGTTTAAATTAAACGCAGCTGCACAAGCTTCTTGGTTTTTGCTGAAAACTGACTCATCATTCAAATTATGCTGTGACAGATGTAACACACTGATAATAAGTGAAACTAGATCTTGTTGATTTATTGAGACAGAATTCAAAAAGTGACTGTTTTCAGATTTTATTTCAGTTTTTGAAAGAGATAAGGATGTTTGGGAGACTTTGAGGTATATTTATATATGTATATGTGTATGTATGTATGTATATATATTTTTTCCCCCATGTTTGATTTTATTTTATGAGCGCTGTTCCAGACCACACTCCACACTAGTTGGTGGCGGTAATGCACCATTCGTTGTTTGCCAACCGCCAATGAAACACCAGAAGAAGAACAAACTGATAATAATTTCAGACCTCTAATTCACTTCTTAAATGTAGTCATCTGTAGAGAAAATGTTGTTTTGATCCTTTTTAAGTTAATGAAACGTTTCTATCATGTTCGCAAGTTTAAATGTTTACGCGTCATTTTGTGAATACACATTTCTCTTGTTCTTCTGAAGTTTTCTGCTGATCTTCAGAGACCTCGTCCAACCAGCAGGTCCTGCTGTGATTTGTCTGGTAAATGTTCTTGGATCTCATGCAGGGATTTGGAATCCCAACTGGTGTGTTGACATCAGAAGACATATTCCCTGGAATATAAAGAATAAAAAAGAAGAATGTTTGAAGATCTACAACTCCCCACTTCAGTCTCACTGTTTGGGGTTCTTGTTGCTCTGCTGGTTCTCCACCTACTTTACTCCATCTTCAGCTCCAGTGACAGGAAGGAGCCTCCTGGACCCAGGTGTTTTCCTCTGTTTGGTAACCTGTTTCAGGTGGATCTAAAAAACCTGGACCAAAGTCTGTTTGATGTGAGTTACTATGAATTGCTTTTAATTGACAGTGATACTTGAACCTGACCTTTTGGATACATTTTATTTCTAGTTGTCCAAGAAATATGGACCAGTATTCCAAGTGAACTTTGGACCAAAGAAGATGGTGGTTCTGGCTGGGTACAGGACGGTCAAACAGGCTCTGGTCAACCACGCCGTTGAATTTGGAAACAGGGAAATCACTCCAGCTTTTAATGATTTAACCAAGAGACATGGTGGGAATTTAGTTTTCATTTATTCAAACCTTGTTAAATCAATCTAACTGATTTTTATGTTTTCAGGTATTTTGTTTTCCAACGGAGACACATGGAAAGAAATGAGGCGTTTTGCTCTGACAACACTGAGAGACTTTGGGATGGGCCGGAAGATGAGTGAAGGGATCATTACTGAGGAATGTCGCTACTTAATTGAAGAATTCGAACAACTTGAAGGTAAATTTTCATTTCAGAAGTGGTTCATTCTGAATAACAATGCACGTAACCATTCAAAAGGCACGCACAAAACATTTTGTTCAATTCAAAATAATTAGATGTATTAAATATTTTTACTTTTAACTTTTTACCCAAACTTTAACTTTTAAAATAGTTTTTCTTTTTTAAATTATCATCTTTAAATTTTTATTTTTAAGTTTTAAGCTGCAAATCAAAATTTTCCTTATGAAGAGTTAACTAGTCATTCAAAGTCCTAAAACTTTAAATCAGTAGAACAAAATATTGTTTCTTTAAAAAAATTATATGCATTATCATTATAAGACTTGTGTAAATAAATAGTGTAGCATCACGAAGGTCCTCTAATTTGTGACAAAGGTCACATTTTCCCAGCTAGGTCAAGCTGGGTCAGATTGTAACTTTTGGTTCTACAGATTAATCCAGGAGTCATGATGGCGGCTGAATATCACCCTTGTCTGCTGAATATATCATCCTTATCTGCTGCTGTTCCGTCCCAGAAGAAGGACACTTAAAGTTTCACAATGATAATTTAGATAATAATTTTAATAAATTATTTGACTTTATTATTGTTATTATAATCATCATAAATAATCACTTAGTTCAGTATAAATGTATTTTTAATTACTGAAATGAATTATCATGCTTTGGGTATAATTATGATTATGGTTGATGATCAGTAAGGTGTGTTCAGTAAACCAGAAGGTCAACTTCCTTCTTATCCATCCAACACAGAGCTTATCCAAGGAAGGTAATCTGCCATCACATGTCTTGACTCATGACCAAACAGATATCATTCATACTTGGGTACTATTATGATGGAGCTATCAAGGAAAGTTTTCTCCATTTTGAATCTGCAGAAGGACTAGATGCAGTGGGCCTTGGAACGCCATGGGTTAGACTACAAAAACAACCTTACAGGCCAAGCATATGATGGTGCTGCTGTAATGAATGGTAAGCATTCTGGGGTCCAGGCTAAAATCAAAGAGACGGCTCCATTTGCATTTTACATCCATTGCAGTGCCCATTGTCTCATTAGTTGATTCTATCAAAGCAGTCCCAGAAGCAGAGGAATTTTTTGCTCTGTTACAGAGGCCCTGTCCACACGTAGCCGGGGATCTGCCAAAACGTAGATATTTTCCTAAGTTTTGGCTTGTCATCCACACGAAAACGGAATTTTTTTCACACGAAAACGGATCTTTTTAAAAACTCCGGCCAAAGTGAAGATCTGCGTTTTCTCCGTTTTGGGTGACTGCGTGTGGACAGACAAAACTGGAGTTTTAAGGTCCGCAACGTCACTTTCCGCGACAAAGCAATGCTGACATCACGTGTGCGACCTGTGTTTACACTAGCCGGCATCATGGATGCCCTCAGAGCTGCGCTCTGTCACTACCCGATCCATCAATTGTCCAAGCGCTTTCTGCTTATTTGTTTTTGCAAGCGGAATTACTGCTCCTTGCGGAAGACCACAGACGAAGGACGAGGTTAAGAACGGGGGAAGTACTGCCGCCTACAGGTCTGGCATGTCCTTAACAACGTATTTATCCGGGTACGTGTGGACAGAGTTTGTTTTTAAAACGCGGTGGTGTGGATGCAAGTTTTTGGAGGGGCGGATATTCGTTTTCAAAAAACCCCGGCTACGTGTGGACTAGGCCAGAGTCTCTATGTTTTTACTTCTGGCTCATATGTACACCCCAAATGGCTGGCTGTGCAAAATGAGATGTATGGCAGCACAAGAGAGCTACAAAAATTAAGTAACACAAGATGGGCTTGCCGATTCATTGCTCTACGCAACATAATGGACAGATTACCTGCCCTAAAACGTGTTCTGCAAGAGACTGCACAAGAGCGCAGGGGAGAAAAATCTTCTGAGGCTCGAGGTCTTCTGGCACAGATTGACCTAGAATTTGTTGTGCATCTTGTTACGCTCCGTACATTGTTCGGAGAAACAAAGCTTCTTTCAGATATGCTGCAGTCCTCAACTGTTGACCTCTCAAAAGCAGCAGATTTAGTTGAACGATTGGTGTAGACATTAACAGATTTCAGGCAGGAATCCTTTTTTGACAAGTTGTGGGGGGAAGTACTGAACATCTGTGTGATGCTGCCACACAGTCGGAAGCAAAACGACATAAAGACAAGCTCCAGACTTTGTGAGTACCACGTACTAAGCTCAGTTGGTCAGAGGGAGCTGGCGTCTGACAAAGAAACTTATCGGTCTTTTTTTTATATCCTGTCATTGACTGCATGCTAAGTGAACTGTGCAGACGTTTTTCAAAGACCAGTTGTGAGCTGATGAGCAGTATTCAATCTCTTAACCCTAAAAGTGATGCTTTTTTGAAAGACACCACCTTGTTTGAGTTTGGTCATCTTTTTGATGCTAATATTGAGGATCTGGGGCAGGCACGTGCAGGGGGGGGGGGGGGGGGGGTGCTTGAGACCCTGCCCCTTTTGTCCCATGTGCCCAAAGTGCCCTTTCTGAGAAATGCATCAATAAAACATTTGCATATTCCAGGATCCAAACTCTCCTTACGGTTGGCAATAATTCTCTAACATTCCTCTCATTCTCTAACTTAACACACATCTCTTCAGTGGTGGACTGGTAATCGGGAGAAACGGGAGATTTCCCGGTGGCCTGGCCGTTAAACTGGCCCGCTCAGTGATTGCCGGTCATGACGTATGTAATATCTAAATGAGCAATTCGTCATGCAGCTCATCAGGGCATCTGCAGTCCTGATGCTCGCACAAACGGAGCAAACTGTGCACAAAGACAACCCCTCCTCTCACTTTTTTGGGGTCTGGCAAGGCGCAGCAGACACCCACCACCCCAGAGCGGCTACAGCGCCACCGCACCTTCGGCCCCAGAGGCAAAATGGACCCAGACGGACCAGGAAAGGTGGAGCAGAAAGAGAGATTGAAAAAGAAGAAAGCTCTGGCCACAGATGCATGTCCAGGCTGGCCTGTATGTGGTCATGGTGGGAGAACCGGTTTAAGGTGGAACTTTTGGGCCAGTTTAATTATCACGCAGAGCGCAATGCTGGGCACGTGGGGTGGGTTGGGGAGGGAGAAACAGCGGCTGTCAGGAACAGATCATGATGATGATCAGGTTCTGATGATCAGATCATCAGACCAGGCGCGGGGGGTGGGGGGGGGGGGGGGTGCTCTGAAAGAAACCTTCTGGCATTCATGCATCCAAGCTCTCATTTCATTTTAGCTTTCCATCCAGACACAGGTAGAGCTTTTTAAACAAGTTTCAATATCAACGATGGTAAATTGTCATCCATGAATTGTCATTTTTAATTGTCATTTAAATTGTCGTTTCAAATCGTCAAGTTTAAAGTTGTTGGTAATAAATTCTTCATTTTTAAACTTTGCTTCATTTTTAAATGAAACACAGAAAGGTATACACATTTCTGGTTATTGAAAAAGCAAAGATTCCTAACTTCTGATTCAAAAATAAATTTTTGCTATTAAATTTAATTATCTTAAATTAAACTTAAATCTTTGGATTAAAAATAGACCAAGTAGGTTGGTGTATGAACTTCTATCGATTATATAAGTATCTTGGATATTTATACATGACATAAGCTCATATGCTAATGTGCTTGATCATTCTCAGAATCTACAACTGACGTTTATTCTACAACAGTGTTTATTCTAGTACGTAGAAATACGCTACAATAGGATCCAGTTTAAATGTTGGAATAATTATGTACTAATGAATTATATAGTATCGTGTTCTCAGTTTAACGAGCCCTGCCTCTCCATCCTGGACAACATCTGTCCTGTCAGAACCAGATCAGTTCCTGCAGTGAACCCTACTTCCTGGTTTAACGGCAGCATTTGCAGCCTGAAACAACATTGCAGAAAATTTGAGCTCTTGTGGAAGAAAACTCCTCTCCATGTCCATCTGCTGCATCTAAAGGATCTTCTGACATCCTTTAACTCTGCAGTCAGATGTAATGGTTGCATATTTCTCCAACCTGGTGTCCCAGAGCAAAGGGAATGCCAGCCCTATGCCTATTTTGAAGCCTATTCCTGGAAAAATGGTAAAAATGGTATTTTATGGTAAAAATAGTTTAGATAGCCTTGTAGTGCTGGGTTTGCTGATTAATTTGATGGGAATTATTATTTCTTCTGTAGTGTGAGGGTTGTTTTGGATCTGTTAAGGAACTAACGTCACAGGGTTCCCCACCTGGGGGTTAACACCATCAACAGTATTGTCTCTCCTGCCTCTCCTACAGTCTCCATCCACTCTGATGCAGAATATGAAAACTTTGTCTTTATTTGTGGACAAAGTCAATAAGGTTAGATCTAGCATCTCTCCTTCAGCCTTATCTCTACTTATCCCAACTCCAACCCAACCCGTCATCCTAGATAGCTTTGCTCCTGTTTCTTTGCCTGAGTTAACCAAACTAGTTAACTCTATGAAGACCTCTGCATGCCCCCTCGACATCTTACCCTCATCTTTGTTTAAAAGTGCTTTTCAGTCCATCGGCCCCAGCATGCTCTCTAGAATTAATGCTTCTCTGGTTTCTGGTCAGGTCCCTGCTTACTTTAAGAACGCTGTAATCCACCCGCTTCTTAAAAAAACGAGTCTTGACCCCTCTCTCCATAGCAGCTTCAGACCCATCTCTAAACTTCCATTCATCTCCAAGATCTTGGAAAAGGCTGTGGCTAAACAACTCACAGCTGCTCTTGATGAACATAACATCTATGATAGCTTCTAGTCGGGTTGACTTCGTAGAGCTCATTCTACTGAAACAGCTCTTCTTAGGGTGTCTAATGACCTTCTGACCCACAGTGATGCAGGGGACTGTTCTTTTCTGGTCCTGCTGGACCTGACTGCAGCCTTTGACACTGTTGTTGACCATCACCTGCTACTGAAGAGGCCGAGAGACTGGGTAGGCCTATCAGGATCTGCTCTGGAGTGGTTCTCCTCTTGTCTGTCTGAGCCCTCCTTTTCTGTGGCCATCTCCAAGTTTATGACCTCCACCACCTCCCTTACCCATGGTGTCCCACAAGGTTCTGTGTTGGGGCCTCTACTCTTCCTCCTCTATCTGCTTCCTCTTAAGCACATCCAGAGCTCCTTTAAAGGAGTCTCCTACCATCTTTATGCAGATGACATCCAACTGTACATCTCCTGTAACCCCCATGAGATGTCTAAGCTGCAGCTGTTACACACCTGCTTAGAAACTATTAAAACCTGGATGGCTGGGAACTTTCTACAGCTGAATGAAGATAAGGCTAAGCTGGTTCCCAAAGTCAGAGACTCTCTTGGTCAGCTTTCTTCTCATACCAAACCTTCTGTTAGGAATATTGGTGTGACCTTTGACCCAGCTCTCACCCTGGATCAGTGGCGTGCCCAGGTCTTTTAAAATGGGATGGCCCAGGTAGCACCCTTCTTTGTGCATGGGTGGCACCAATGGTTATGTTTCTATTTTTTTATCCCAAGCTTTTTGTGGACAAGTCTTTATTGGGAATTCAGTGGGGTGGCCGATCAGATTCCATGGGTGGCATGTGCTACCCCAGGCCACCCCTTGGACACGCCCCTGCCCTGGATTCTCATGTCTGAGCCTGACATCGGTGGACTCAGTGGTCTCCTTTTTAAAAAGCAGCTGAAAACTCACTTTTTCAAGCTGGCTTTTGTGTGAACTTCATCACCACCCTCTACTTATTCTGCTCTTTCTACCAACTCCGCCTTTCCTGGAATGCACTGATTTTGCTCTCATTCATTTTCTCCATTTTCTCACTCCCTTTCCTTACATTTTTTTAATCACAACCTTTTTTAAGTTTATTCTTTTAAACTGGTTTTTGAAATAGTTTAAAAAATCTTTTTACAGTTAAATTTTTCGTTTTCTTGAAGAACCTCAGTGATTTTTGTCTTGAGAGGTGCTAAATGAAAGATCATTTTCTTTATTTCTTAATGCACACATGTTGCTGAGCTGTGCATGTTTAGCCAAAGCAGCTGTTTTTAGGTACAGCTGCAGTTTCTTTCACACCTTTTTCACCTGACTTGTTTTTCTTTGACAGGTAAACCCTTCAGCAACACCAAGGCTATTAATTATGCAACGGCAAATGTGATCTCAACTTTAATGTTTGCAAAAAGATTTGATTATAATGATCCAGCTTTCCAAGCAATGGTGCAACGAGAAAATGACATAATCCTTCTGACCGGATCGGCTTCTGTCTGGGTATGACTGAATGATGACCTGCAGATTCTTAGCTGCTTCTGGATTCTTGAAAATTTTCAAATGAATTTTATTCTCCTCTTTAGATTTACAACTTTTTCCCTTGGCTGGGCCCTTTCCTTAAAAACTGGAGAGAGTTGATAAAGAATGTGGAGAGCAACATGGCAGAGGCCAGAAAGTTGATAGCAGACCTGAAGGAGACTCTGGACCCGGAGAAGTGCCGATGCTTCGTTGATGCTTTTCTGATCCGAAAGAAACAACTGGAGGTGAGCTGACTAGCACTGGACCGTTCTCTGACTGTAAATGACCCAATGTTTATTTCCTCTTTTTATGAGTTTTACTAGGATTCAGAAATCCAAAACTTGCATTATCACGATGAGAACCTGCTGTACAGTGTGACCAATTTACTGGAAGCTGGAAACGACACCACAGCAAACACAGTGAAATGGAGTCTCCTTTACATGGCCAAAAACCCTCACATACAAGGTACAAACATTCCCCAAGTAGTTTCTGTTTAGATTGAACTTGCGCACCTGCTCACATGTTGGATTAAATTTTCATGTGCTTCCAGATCGGGTCCAGGAGGAGCTGAGCAGGGTGGTTGGAAGCCGGCAGGTTCAGATGGAGGACAGGAAGAGCTTGCCGTACACTGATGCTGTCATCCATGAAACACACAGACTTTCAAACATCTTTCCCATCGCTCTTCCTCATGCAACCAGCAAAGATGTCACTTTCCAAGGCTACTCCATCAAAAAGGTCAGCTGTTTAAACTGTTGGTTACTAACAGAGGTGTGACCAAGCCACTGCTTTGCAAGTCACAAGTCTTTCCAGTCAAGTCCAGGTCAAGTCCAAGTCCTTAACTTTGAATTTTCAAGTCAAATTTTCCACTTCAATTTAATGACAATGATAATAAATACATTCCAGAAATAAAGCTTCTTAAAGCTTCATTTATTTGCACAAACAAGTAGAAAGTGCAAGTGAAACTGATTATAAACAAAGTGCTGCTGCATTCAGCAGAACAAGATCAACCCCAGAACGAAGAGTGTTTTTTGTCCATGTCGTGCCACTTTTGTGCCAAAATGTAAAATATCCTCAAGTCAACAGATGCAAGTTGATTCAAGTCGCAAGTCATAAGTCTTTATAGATTTTATCAAGTCAAGTCAGAAGTCATTAAAATAATGACTCGAGTCTGACTCAAGTCCAAGTCATGTGACTCGAGTCCACACCTCTGCTTACTACTTTTAAATAAAATTTACCTTTCCTGTAGAAACCTGCTCTTCTTGAGACCTGATTTCTCTTTCTACTTGCAGGGAACCACAGTTATTCCACTGCTAACGTCGGTCCTGTACGATGAGAGCGAATGGGAGAGCCCTCACACTTTTAACCCTTCTCGTTTCCTGGATAAGGATGGTAAATTCACCAAGAGAGACGCCCTGCTGACTTTCTCTGCAGGTACTTGGCAGAGTAGTCATTTTTTTCCCTTTTTGAAATAAAACACAATTCATTTGTGAAAATGTTTGAACAGGCAGAAATATCTTTTTATTAAAGATCTTATTGGTTGTAATATTTTAGAGTAATCTGTTTCACCTCTCCTGAAGGTCGCAGGATGTGCCTTGGAGAGAGTCTGGCCAGAATGGAGGTCTTCATCTTTTTCACGTCTCTTTTCCAACACTTTCGTTTCACTCCTCCACCTGGAGTTTCTGAAGATGGATTGGATCTAACCCCCATCGTGGGCTTCACCCGCTCCCCTAAGCCTCAGAAGCTGTGTGCCGTCCGTCGCTAGTGAACATCTGAAGCATCTCCTTTGTGTGATTCTGAACTATTTGGAAAGTGTTAGGCCACACACACACACACACACACACACACACACACACACACACACACGTGAATACTTTGATATATTTTTATTAACCATTTTAAACGGTAGTCTTTGTTTATTGCAGAAATAAATTAGCATAAAAAGAAAACTGTAGCATTGGTCTCTTTTGTCATTGATCAGTCGAGTTTGTGTTCACCAGGTCTGGTTTTGATTTAGGAGAAGATTGTTTTTTTTTTTTATTTTAGACAGAAATACAACAGCCATGGTGATTTTAGCTCCTTTTTGTGCCCGTTGATGCTTTTCTGTCACCAGCAGAATATGCCTTTTGCACGAGAATGGGCTGAAATCAGGCAAAGAAGAACTCTTCTAGCTTCTGTTTTTCTGTTTCTATGGATAAACCGAATCTGACGGCAACACAGCCTCTCCTCTAATCCAGAAACATTTTCTCAGGTCACAAGATGCCAAAGGGTTGTTTTCCATCTCTTCCTAACATTCTTATCTTTTCACCAGTTGTAACTTTAGAAGTTGAACTAGATCTGAAACCAGTTTAAGGCCTGACCCTCACCCCTTAATCTCCTAAATCATGTGTTGGGGGATCTGGACTTTTCTGTTATGTCAGGTGTGGGGGTGCTGGGAAGTTCCGGAGATTTTATTAACAGGGATGTGAGTTTTAAACTGAAGGGTGGGTGTTTGTAAGTTGCCTGCTTGATTGAACTTTGTGTCTTTGTTATGTAAAAGGTTAAATCAGCAGACATCATGGTAACCACACAGAGCATCAGCCTTGTTCTAAGCCTCTATTGATGTCACCACTGGTCCTTTTCATTTTCGTTTTTCATTTGTTTGTTTATAGAGCGCCTTCCTGCTGCCAATCAATGCAGCCCGAAGCGCTGAACACAGCAGCGTAAAAACAAACATTAAAATAAAAAGTACTACACATTAATTCATGTTAAGTACCAAAGCAATAAAATCACAAGGTCAGTTGATATAATCGGTTAAAACAATCAGAACAGAGGCCTAACGGTGTGCTGTAAGTCTGTAATGCATTTTCAATGTTGCTTTAAAAGCCCCAAGTGTAGTTGTGAGTCTTTTTTCAAGTGGAAATTTTGCGGCAAAAGCGATAAAAGCTCGATCTCTAACTTTTACGCTTGGTTAATGGAACAACCAGTAGGTTGTTGGCAGCAGAGCGCAGGGCGTGTTTCTGCAGTAGTGATGATGGATAAGGTGGTGCAGTCCCTGCTAGTGACTTGAATGTAAACACAAGAACCTTGACCTCAAAGCAACGTTTAACCGTAAGCCACTGCAGTGCGTGTAATACTGGAGTGATGCTCTTCCATTTTTTCACTCCGGTAATGAATCTCGCTGCAGCATTCTGAACCATCTGCATCTTTGATGGCGTAAAGTGGTCAGACCAACATACAGAGAGTTGCAGTAGTCGAGTCTGGAAAGCACAAATGCAGATGTTACAATCTCAAGGTCCTTTCTGGATAGCATAGGCTTAATCCTTGCAAGGCGCCGGAGCTGAAAAAAGCATATTACTGCAGAGTTCACCTGTGCATCAAAGGTCAGTCCAGAGTCCAATCTCACACCAAGATCAGTTACCACTTTGCGTTCAAATGGTGCTATTGATAAGAGGTCTATGCTACATGCCTGATGGCCATTAGGTGAAAAGACGATGACTTCAGTCTTGCTCTCATTGCAACTTAAGAAGTTGGCCGACAACCATGAACGCACGTCTTCCATGCATTCCACCAGAGACTAAATCAAACTAGACTACCCCTTTTTTTTAATGGCAGATAAATCTGGCAGTCATCAGCATACAAATGGAAGTCAGTACCACACCTGCTGAAGATCATGCTGAGTGGGAGAAGATAAGAGCAGGGGACCCAGAACAGATCCCTGAGGGACCCTCCATTTCAGTTGTTTCTGATCACCTGTAGAAACACTCATAGCTCTGTTAGTCAGGCATGACTTCCTCCAACTCAGAGCTGCTCTTAAAATCCCCACCCACTGGGGAAAACCCACTTTTCAGGAAAACTGCCATGATGTTAGAATCTCGTTTCTGACATCTCTTGTTTCTAAGATCGAGCTGAGATCAGATCATATGGAAGGAATGGTAAATGGCCTGTATTTGTATAGTGCATTATTAGGGTTCTACAACCCCCAAGACACTTCACATCACAATCAGTCATCCACACATTTACACAGGTAATGAAGCTATGATGTAGCGACAGCTGCCCTGGGGCGCACTGACAGAGGTGAGGCCTGCCAAACACTGGTAACACCGGTCCCTCCGACCACCACCACCAGCAGGCAGGGTGGGTTAAGTGTCTTGCTCAAGTACACAACAGCAGCATTCTCTGGTGGGAGCCGGGATCGAACCTGCAACCTTCCAATTACTGGACAACCCACTCTACCTCCTGAGGCACTGCTGTCCCTAACAGGAAGTTTAGTAGGTTTCATTTACAGTCAGAACACAGCTGAGATTGGATTGAAGAGCAAGTTCACTCAAAACACATTTTTTTAATACAGTTGGTCATTCTTAGCCAACCCTGTGAAACACACACTGCCTAAGATCTTGCCTGTTGCTATCCCTCACACAACCAGTATGTCTTCATTCGTGGCTTCTTTGTCAAAGAAGTCGGTGTCAGACATTGATCTTTGCTTTATGAACATTTTTTTGCATCTGTGAACATTCCAGATTGTTTTGAGGAACAGGAAGCCACGGGTTTCCCTCTTCTGTCTGTCCTGTATGCGTGGGAGAGCCCTTGTAGTTTTAACCCTTCTCATTTCCTGGATGAAGATGGTACATTCATCAGGAGAGATGCCTTCATGCCCTTTTCTGAAGGTACATCCTCTTAGCACTATATGGAGTGGGTGATAGACAGCACAAACTCCAGTTCAGCTAGTTGACCTAACCAGTTACCCATGCACCTGCAGATCTAGCCAGAATGAATATCTTCCTTTTCTTCACCGCTCTTCTTCAGAGTTTGGACTTTCTGAAGCTAAATGGGGCTTCGCTCCGATTCCTAAACCTCAAAACCTGTGTGCTGTCTGTCGCTAATAAGCAAATGTGGTTCTTCATATGGTGGATGTTTGCATTATGACGAACGTGTTGCAACTCAGAGAATGTCTGAGTAACTTCAAATGGAAGACTCTGATGGTGCTCTGTCTTATATTAAATACATGATAGGCCAATAACTGTAATGAATGAAACTGCAACAAGGTTGCATTATTTAATTGTTCATCTGCTTTTTGTCACTTATTGGTTTTGTTTCATCATAAAACCACGAACCAATGAGTTTCATTTTCAATATGTTGGTTTTAAAACTGATATTTCTATTTTTAAGAGAATTATTCCTGAAAAATATCATGCAACAATCTAGTCCCAAGATCCCAAAAGTTTTAACAGATGTATTTGTTTTATTAGCTTTGTAGCGGAGAGGATTAGATACATGTTTGCTAAATGTTGAATAAGATTTGATATTCCATGTAAATATGAAATATCAATCTGATTGGTCTTTGAATATTTGAGTTAATATTCCTTTATCAGACCAGTGATGACATGTTTAGCCGCATGCTGTCCTTCAACTGCTGGTTGTCTAGGTGGTGTCCTGAAAACAACGTGGGCTACATTGATAATTGGAAAACTTTTGGGGAAAACCTGGTCTGATGCGGAGAGACGGCATCCACCCTTCTTTGAATGGAGCAGCTCTTCTTTCTAGGAACATGGCCAGTTTTATTAGTCCTCCATGACAACCCAGGGTCCAGACCAGGAAGCAGAGTCGTAGTTTAACACACCCCTCTGCAGCTTCTGTACTGTTACCCACCCACTACCCCATAGAGACAGTGTCCTGCCCACGGCCAAAATCACACAGATTAAATATCAGGCTTAAAAAAGCAAATCGTGAAAATCTCCTAAATATTAGAACAAATTCAACTGAACAGAAAACTAGAAAAATTAAATGTGGGTTCTTGAACATTAGGTCTATTTTTTCTAAGACTTTGTTAGTTGACTTGACTTGACTTGTACTTTATTTCGAACTAACGTAAAAAACAAATTTTTTTTATACCACACAACTCGACACAAAAGCAATCAAGTAAAAAAGCCCGAAAAGAAGTAGTTAGAAGTAAAACTTGTACAATCCTACCCCCTTCTAACTTCTTCTTATTCAACTTATCTCAAAAACAAAATTTAAAAACTAAGAAACATATCTATATAAAAATAACAATAACACAGAGAAAAAATAGATTAAACATACTCAACAATCAACTTCTTGTATAATTCTACTGAATCCAGCTCATCAACATAATTATCCAATAGATGTTTTTTGTAGCTCTTCTTAAATTGATTTACCTTTACACATTTTTTCAAATCTTCACTCAAATTGTTCCATAATTACACCCCACATATTGTTGTACACATTCTCCTCTTTGTTGTCCGAACTCTCTGTTTTTTGAAGTTTAATGCCCCTCTTAAATTGTACCCATCATCTTCATCATTAAACATTTTCTGTATATTGCATGGAAGTAATTTATTTCTTGCCTTAAACATGATTACTGCAGTTTTAAACTTTATCAGATTAATAAATTTTAAGACTTTAAAAACAGTGTTGTGTGTTCCCTATATACCACATTATATACTATCCTTATCGCTCGTTTTTGCAATATGGATAGTGATTGTAGATTACTCAGGTATGCGTTTCCCCAAACTTACACACAGTAACTCAAGTATGGCATTACCAGTTATGAAAACAGAATATACAATGACTCTTGATTCACTAAATGTTTTATTTTACCCAAAACACAAATTCTCTTTGCCAATTTTGTTTGTATATATATTTAATATGTGGTTTCCAGCTAATATTATGGCCTAGGAAACCCCCAGAAATTTTGTTTCATAAACTCTCTCTATTCTTACATTTTCTAACATCAGTTTTATCTCAGAGTCCACTCTTCGATTTCCGAACAAGATGGCGTTGGTCTTGTCCAAGTTTAATGATAATTTGTTCAAGCTGAACCATTCTTTCAACTTACTCATTTCAGTCCTCACTTCTCCCAATAATTGCTGTATATTTTCCCCAGAACAAAGAGCATTGGTGTCATCTGCAAACACAACAAATTTGAATTTTTTTGAAACCATAACTAAGTCATTT